ACATCATCTCTTGTGACTTCCGTATCCGCTATAATTCTTGTACAGCGTTCCTCGTGATGTTCGTGCCACCACAATATGCTTCATAATCCTTCAAATGCCCCGAAGGTCTTGTGTTGTGATTGTCAGTATTTGTCCTATGCCTATTATGACCTACTGATCAACTATAGTTATGACTTGCCAATGATAGATATGACCTAAAATGTCCATCACTGCAGTTGATTATTAGTATTGTTATTATCACTAATATTTGTGTTATTGATATTAGATACGAAGTTCTATTTCGATTATTATTATTACAAGTGTTATCAATTATGTGTTAATTTAAATTATAAATTTAAATTAAAATTAATTTAATAATATATTATATAAACTTATATCTTTTTAATAATTTTCGAGAAATTTAATAATTTTTTTATGACAAACCTTGATATTGTAAATTAGAATATTTCGACAGATCGCAATATTATCTTTTGAAAAAGAAAGTTTTTTTTTTTTTATAAACATAAGAGTTCAGGTTTGGGTCATTTTATCAGTTTAAATTTTAGCTTATAAATAAGGTAAGATTCTTTTGCTAGGAATGCAACGAATTTCAGTTACTTCATTTAGCAAAGATCAAATAATATTTTCCGAAGTTTCTAAACTTAAACAATTTTCTGTCTATTTATTATATTCATACCTGATTTCTTTCTCGGGAATGGGATTCGCAAATATATTAAAGGAACTGATAGTAAAATCGTTATTTTTTTTTTATTACCTGAATTGAGATGGATTCTATGATAAAATCATTATTATTTTGTTATTTTTTTAATACTTGGGATTTCGTAATAAGACTTTATTTTTATAAAAATTACTTATTTGAATTCTTCCCTGGAATTAATGGATGAATAGAATCATGAAATAATTAGATAAGATCTTTATTTTTGCTTAATAAAATTAATTTTACGACAAATATCACAATTATTTTAAACAAAGTATTGTAGAAATTTAATTTCATTTAAAAGAATCTAAGTTGACGGCGAAGTAAATTATTCTTGAAACAAAATATTAATGTACATTTATCAAAATTGTAAAAATCCCATTTGTTCTCAATTTGAAAACTCGAAATTTTAATTTGCGAAGGTACGAAAAATTTGCATTCTTATTTCTTTAATAATAATATTTATTCAAATTCGTCTATTTAAAAATTAAATTTTGACCGGAGAAGTAAGTTTTATATTTATATAATGCTTATTTTCAAAAATATTCATTATTCAATATTATTATTGATTTAATTCATTTAAAAATATTACCTTACATTAATTCCTCCAATTTCACTACCTTATTTTTATTTTTTATTTTTATTATTCACTTAATTCTAAATTAAGTATTTCTTCAATGTCACTCATTTTTGATCCAGAAGATATTGACCAAACATCGTGCAGTGTTTAAAGTTATTGAATGGTGTGGTGAAATTGGATTAATACATTTAAATTCCTCCTGAATGGTGTAATTGTATATATTAAAATTCTATTAATTTTCTATTAACTACTGCTTTAGTTAATTTTTAGATATGTGGCAATTTTTTACTAAAAATATTTCAATTATTTGTTTTAAAATTTACTTTTTTAGTTGTTGTTATGAATTTATAAAAGAGCCTGCATATTTGTTTTTCATTTGACGTACAGTGTATTATCTAATTATACGTTATCGTTATCACCAAAAATTCAATCTCAAATCTATTTGAGAATAAAATCAATTAATTATATTAATTCTTCCTCGAAATAAATAATCTATACTTTGATCCTCATTCCAAGAAACATCTTATCAGCATGATAACAGACAATGTGTAACAGATTCAGTTATTCGCCAGTCATATCTTGTCTCACATACGAAAAGCATTTTGAGAACAAAAGCATCTTTTTTAATCTTTTAAAGAAAAAAATGACTCGTGGAACATCACTTTCCAAAGATCTCCAGTTTCTTGTCAATAATTTAAAGTATAGTGATATTGTAATTACCTGTGCCGAATCAGTAAAACTTCATGGCTGTCGTGCTATTCTTGCTGCTCGTTCGGAGGTTTTTGATCGTTTATTATACAATGGAAAGAAAGATTCAGAAATCAAATTTGAGCAAATTAATTCTCAAGCGATGAAAATAATTTTAGAATTTATATATACGGGAGATTTTACCAATGGGGATTTATCTTCAGAAATTTTAATTGATGCATATTCCGCAGCTGTTTATTTTCAATTACTGAATTTACAAGTTCATATTATTGATAAGTTGGAGGAAATATTAAGTAATAATTCCAAGGAGAATGTTTCACCTCATTTATTAACCAAAGCAGTTGGAGGCGTAATTCCAAACTCAGATCAACCTCTCACTGATCTATTGGCAAAGTGTGTAACGAAAATACCTCTGGAAACGATTCCATATGGAAGTTTATCATCACCAGCTTTACAATTTTTACTTATGTATTGTACAAAGAAGAATATATCCCTGGCAAAAAATCCATATTCCACATTCAGATATGTTGTTTTACATGCAGCAAATCAAGTCGAACAGGAAATCTCAGATGATGTATTTAAGAAAACCGAAGCATGTTTACCACCACTTAATAAAATTTTAGAAAATGAACGTGTTGTTACATCTAAAAAGATTGTTGATCCTGAAAATATTGAAGGCTTATCACCATTTCGAACAAAATTAACCGAAAAATTATCCCCAATGCTTAATTATGCAAATATTAAACTAATTAGTGGTGGTATATTGGCGGAGATTATTGAACCATTAAATATCGTACCATTTAAATTAATTTTAGAAACGTACAGATACAAAGTAAAACAAGAACCAATAGTAAAATTGGAAGAAGAAAAAGAAGTAATAAAACAAATAGATTTTACTTGGGATATAAACGTTTGTGGTCCAAATTTAGGTGAGAGAATTAATTATTTTCTAAAGTTAAATATATATGTATATATTAATTATTAATTAATTATACTGTATATTAAATACATCTTTATATTAATTGATTAATTTAATTGATTTAATCAATAACTATTTTATTTATTAAAAGATATTTCTGATGATGGATATACAATTGAAACCCCTAGCAATCTAAGATTTAATGAACGAGTTCGAGCATCCCAACCAATTACAGGTACTGGATTATACGAATGGGATATAATAATTGAAAATCCTAGTTCATCAGATTGGGTAGGAATATGTGGTGAAGGTGAAGTAACAAATTATAATTGTACAGATTATAATTCAAAAGCTTGGATATTGGGTACAACTGGAATGGTTAGTAATAATGGACAATCAATAAATTATGGAAGTCCATCATTTCAGCAAGGAACTAAGATAAGAGTACACTTGGATATGGGAAAAAGAGAAAGAAGAGTATCATTTTCAATAAATGATGTTAAGTATCCGGAAGTGCTGCATTGGAAAAATATACCAGCCAAAGTATATCCATTGGTTTCGTTGAGATATCCTGGAAGACTTAAAATTCAACAGAAATCTGATTATGAATCTGAATAAAAAAACATTTATATTTATTTTATTTTTATTTTTATTTTTTTATTTTTTTGTATTTTACTTATATTTATATTTTTTTTTGTTATTTTTTATTAAAGTCTTGGAAAAATTGAAATTTGTAATTTTGAGAATTTTATTTATGATTTATTTATTTTTAAATAAAAAAATGCGTTTATTAAGAACGAACATTGAGATGAAAAAATAAGTTAGTGAAGAAATGGAATGTGCAGATGAAAAAATTAAAAATATATATATATATATATATATATATAAAGAAAGTGACAATTTAAGTTATTATTTAATCTTTCCTCTCTGATCTAACTCAAAAAAAAAAAGAATCGATCAAATAGCAAATACATGTGATATTTCCTGGAACTCAACACATAACTTTATTTATCCAAATAATTTATGATATATAAATAAAACATTAAGTGTATAATTAAATAATTAATTAAATAAATACAATAAAATTATAATAAAATAATAAAAAATACAATAAAAATCAAATATAATAAATACAATAAAAAATAAAAATATAATAAATAAAATGAAAATATAAATATTATAAATATAATAAAAATACCAATATATAATAAAAAAATAATAATAAAATAATGAAAAATAATAAATGCAATGAATATGAATCAATCAATATTTAAACAAGATTTCTCTAAAATATCATATTTTAAATTTTTAAGATTATCCACACAATTAATTATTAAACTTTGTGCATGACTACATCTACTTCCACCAGTATAATTTGGATGATAATAATGTTTATGATAACTACTTTGAATATTTAAAGTATATTTGGGCATCACTTTTTCTAAATAATTTTTAATTTCCATTGAAAATAATTCCAATATTTTATATCCACTACTTTCATATTGTTTTAATCTTTCATGAATCTTCTCAATGAATGGAGATACGTACATCATTTTATCCGTGGGTAAAGTTTCATGATGAAGAGGAGTTGCATAAAATGTAATATTAATGGTCTCATGAAAATTCCAACTGGTTTCTATTATTGAAAATTTGATCGCTTGTACAAATCTATCCACAATTTCCGAATATTGAGAAATTGTAGGTAAAGATGAATTGATGGTTGGTAATGGTAAAGGTAAAGGTAAAGGAATTTGAAAGTAATCCATTTCATCTAAAAGTTCTTGATGAGTTATAATTGAATTATCATTAGGAAAAATTATCTTCCCTGTACGATAATATTGCATTATATATCTAAAGATTTGAGAATCTCGATCAAAGAAATATTCATTATTATTTGTAGGTTGAAGTAATTTATTGTTTCTCTCATGAAACATTGTACCAAGAAGAGTATCCGGATAAGTTTTGAGTGTCGAACTATATGTTTCATACTATGATAATATTATGATGATAATATTATGATTAAGATATCATATTAAATATATTATGATTATTAAAGTTAAAATTAAATTTTAAAAAAATCATTATATATTTAATATTAATTATATTAACCTTGATACCTCCAACATTCAAAATTATTCTTTCATCTTGAATTTGTCTATCATTTATTTCATTGATTTCATTAATTTCATTGATTTCATTGATTTCATTAATTTCATTAATTTCATTCATTATTTTTTTTTTGAATGAACAGTTAATCATCAATGTCTAATCACTGAATGATCTACAGTACATCAATTCTTATTCGTTATCCATGGGTGTATTCAAGCGTTCAATCTGGATTGAATTTGATTGGCCGAACCCAAATGATAACTAATCCTGTTCACAAGTTAGATTTTATTAATAAATAATTCAAATTCTGGATTAACCAATCCAATATATCTGATGTGATCTTGATGATTTGTGTAATCCTAACCAAATCCATATTGATCTTCATTGTGTTCGAGATTAGAAAAGGCGACAATGACAATCTACTACATTTAAATCCACAATTTTATTTTATTTTCAATTTATTTTTTAATTTTAAATTCGTCAAACCTTTAATCAAGTATTTTAATTTAAACTCGTCAAACTTAATCAAGTATTTAGTTTAAATTCGTCAAACCTTTAATCAAGTATTTTCCTCTAAATTCGTCAAACCTTTAATTAGTATTTAGTATCTATTGTCTAGAAGATTTTGTCAACATTTGGCCTTAAGAACCTCAACCCTTCTCCAGACTATTTCACATAACATTTATGGTGGGATCGGATGAATTAATACAAAATTTAGGGATGAGAGCGTACATATTATACATATTCACAGTTATAAATAAATAAACAAATAATCTATTTCATAATGTATATTATAATTTAAATCTTGACGATCATAGTAAGAGATTATCATTAATTTAAGTATTATTAGAAATAGATTATCTTAAAATTTAATTTTTAGCAGTAATAATTACATGATAACTAAATTTATCATGTGATGTAATAAAGAGCATTTAATGTGTAAAATATAATGCAAATATTTGTTTTGCTTTAATTTTACCTTCAGTACATCTTCTTTGCAATCCAAAAAGAAATATTAAAAGAAAAGAAACAAAAATAATATTTTATAGTTTTAAAGTATAATAACTACTACTAAAGAAGAAGATTGACAAATAATCCCAAAATAGGATGATTCTTGTTTTTACAACGTTCAACAAATCATGACACCGTGTAACAAAATTCGAATGCTATAAAACAATAATTCATACGTTAAAAGTCAATTAAAAAAGATCCTTTTTTATGGTTCCTTATGTTTTGATATCTAGTTAAAGAAAAAGCTACCAATATTGTCTATTATTATATTTGTACGTATTATATAATTTCTTGGGTTCAACTGAAATCTGAAGATCAAAAATGTCTCGTGGATCGTCCCTTTCCATAGATCTTCAGCTTCTTGTTAATAATCCTAAGTATAGTGATATTATAATTATCTGTGCTAAATCAGAAAAACTTTATGGCTGTCGTGCTATCCTTGCTGCTCGTTCGGAGGTTTTTGATCGTTTATTATTCAATGAAAGGAAAGAAACGGATGAACGAGAAATCAAATTTCCAGAAATTAATTCTCAAGTGATGAAAATAATTTTAGAATTTATATATACGGGAGATTTTACAAAAGAAGATTTTATTAATGCAAATTTATATTTAGAATTTCTAATTGATGCACATTCTGCAGCTGATTATTTTCAATTACTGAAATTACAAGAACAAATAATTAATAGGATAAATGAAATACTAAGTGATAATTTCGAGGTAGATATTTTACCTGAGTTATTAACCAAAGCGGTTGGAAATGTAATCCCAAACTCAGATCAACCTTTACCTAATCTATTGGCAAGATATGTAACGAAAATACCTCTGGTAACGATTCCATATGAAAGTTTATCATCGCCAGCTTTTCAGTTTTTACTTATGTATTGTACAATGAAGAAAAAATCCATGGCAAAAAACCCATATACCATATTCAGATATGTTGCTTTACATGCAGCAAATCAAGTCGAACAAGAAATCCCAGGCGATGTAGTTACGAAAATCGAATCATGTTTACCACCACTTGAAGAAATTTTAGAACAAGAACATGCTATTACTAAAGATACTGAAGGCTTATCATCATTTCGAACAAAAATGACCGAAAAATTAACCCCAATGCTTAATTATGTAAACATTAAACTAATTAGTGGTGGTATATTGACGGGGATTATAGAACCATTAAATATCGTACCATTTCAATTAATTTTAGAAGCGTACAGATACAAGGTAAAAGCTATGAGAGAAATAGATTTTACTTGGGATCCAAAAGTTTGTGGACCACATTTAGGTGAGAAAATTAATTGTTTCTAAAGTCAAATATATATTAAATATATATATATATATTTATATTAAATATTTTATTATTCATTTATTTTATTTATCCATTAAATCATTTTATAGATATTTCTGATGATGGATATACAATTGAAGCCCCTTACTATCTAAGTTCAAATGAACGAGTTCGAGCATCACAATCAATAACAGGTTCCGGAGTATGTGAATGGGATATAATAATTGAAAATCCTAGTTCATCAGATTGGGTAGGAATATGTGGTGAAGGTGAAGTAACAAATTATAATTGTACAGATTATAATTCAAAAGCTTGGATATTGGGTACAACTGGAATGGTTAGTAATAATGGACAATCAATAAATTATGGAAGTCCATCATTTCAGCAAGGAACTAAGATAAGAGTACACTTGGATATGGGAAAAAGAGAAAGAAGAGTATCATTTTCAATAAATGATGTTAAGTATCCGGAAGTGCTGCATTGGAAAAATATACCAGCCAAAGTATATCCATTGGTTTCGTTGAGATATCCTGGAAGACTTAAAATTCAGAAAAAGGATTAAATCATGCAGGTGGTTGCATAGGCAAGGATTATATAATATTATTTATAATATTTCATAATATTTCATAATACTATTTATAATGTTATTTATAATATTATTTTATAATGTTTTGTCTTTATATTTCCCTATTATCATAAATAAGTTTTCTAATTTCGAGAATATATTAAATTTATTTTAGTAATAATTGATTTTAAATATATATTTCTTTATAATATTAATATTTGTTAATTTTTTCCGACAAGAATATCCTTTTTTTTCTTTTGTGGCGCTGCATAAATAATGGCTGAAAATGATAATAAAATAAAATAATAAAAACAGAGATGGAACGAAAAAAATAATAGTCATTACCATAATTAGAATACTCTATGTATACACTATACACCTAATACTATTTGTTTGAACTCTATTTTAAAACTAACTAAAAACAGACGAAATATTTAATCCGCCTCAATTACATTAATAACCTTTAATTATTCTCAAAATGGAAATAAAATTCAATATACATGTTTTGCATCTAAATTAGATGTTTAAACAAACGCGTAAATAAACCACTTGATTCTTTTGTTTATAAAAATCGCGTGATAGGTAATTTTATTTTTTTAAAGAAAATAATGCTAAAAATTTACTATAGTAAGTTCTTTTCTTGGATAAAAAAAAACCCCCCACACATAACTGATGATATAAAGTCCTTTATCATATTCCAATCAGCCAAAGTTTATCCATTAGTTTTGGTAGAAAATTAAAAATTCAGAAAAGGATGCACGTTTCTTTTTTTGGATGGTTGCATATGTTATAATGTTAATTTATTCTTTTCTTTGTATTCCCTAAATTTTCGAATTTTTCGAGAATATTTTAAAATTTTTTTGATTAATAATTGGTTTTAAATATAATATAATTATTTATAATATTTGCAATTTTTTCCGACAAGAAGATTCTTTTTTTTTGTGGTGCTGCATTAATAATGCTGAAAATGATAATGAAATAAAATAAATAAAATAATACGGAACGAAAAAAAAATAATAGACATTACCATAATTAGAACACTCTATGTATATTCTATACTCTAAGTATACATCGAATCTTATTTGTTTGAACTCTATTTTAAATTAATAAAACAGACGAAATATTCAATTATTTTTAATTATTCTCAAAATGGAAATAAAATAATATACATGGTCAACAGCCAAATTAGATGTAGTAATTTTTTTAAACAAACGCGTAATAAATCACGTGATCTTTTTGTTTATAAAAACTGCGCGATAGGTAATTTTATTTTTTAAAGAAAGCAAAAAATATTACCGGTGATATCCGTAATAAATACCTTATCATATTTATCATATTCCAATCAGTCAAAGTTATCCATTGGTTTCTTTAAGGTATACTGAAAATTTAAAGGATTAAATCATACACGTTTCTTTTTTTGGATGATTGCATTTGATATAATTTTCGAATTTGAGAATATTTTAAAATTAATTTGAGTTTTAATTATAATTGTTTATAATATTTGTAATTTTTCCGGCAAGAATATCTGTTTTTTTCTGTGGCGTTGCGGAGGCGGTGGGGAAAACGAAAAAAGATAATACCATAATTAGAATACTCTGTGTACGCCATACTATATGTATACGCCTAATCCTATTTGTTTTAAAATTAATTAAACAGATGGAATATTTAATCAGCCTCAATTATTTTATTCGCAAAATGGAAATGAAATTCAATGCACATGTTCAACAGCTAAATTAGATGTGGTGGCAATGTTTAAACGCGTAATAAATCACTTGATTCTTTTGTTTATAATGTTAAAAATTTTACTCTTTCTTGATAATATATATATATATATATTCTTGCATAAACGGTGATATCCGTGATAAATCTTATCATATTTATCATATATTCCAATAAATATATGCGTGCCTCAAATCGATTCTAGACTCAAATGTCAGCTGAGGTACCTCAAACGTAAATCTTCATCTGCGGTGCGTCAAATTATAATTAATTATATCACCTAAAATAATCGGAACTATATTATCGATAATGCGCTGGATTATTTAATATTATGAAATTTTCGCTACTATAAATTTACTTAAATTGTATTTATTATTGTTGTAAAAAGAATTTTTGATAGTGCATGATTACAATATAACTCTGATATTCTAAATGTATGTTCTATGTAGATTTATTAAATAATGAATAAAATCATAATGCAATCAACCTAATTGATGATAGCAACTCAATCGATGATAGCAACTCAATCGATGATAGCAACCCACTTCCATTTTGATTCAAACAATCGAAATTAATTTAATTGGGTTAATATCTTTCACATCTTAAATTTTTCCTATTGGCTATAAAAATTTTCCGACCCATCAGTTCTAAAAAGATTTTCTAAAAATATCTTCCAAGGTTTCCATCTTTTGTGTTAGGTTTTAAATGTTTGATTTCTTTTTTTATATGAATGTACTCAAACGTATATTCTAAATATTGTTGATCAATTGTACAATCTGGGTTTCGTGACGCGCTTTAATCATCAACAAACCAAAATGTTCCGCTAAAATACTTGCTTTAATTTTTTTTCTCATATGATTATACAAATCTTCCGCTAAAATACTGCTCATATGATCATTCATTTAATTACAACTTTAATTATCCTAGAATTCATTCGTCATACAATATATAATATAAAATATATTAGTTTGTTATTAGAAATGTTATTATTTTATTATATTATCTTTTTTGTGATACTTTTCCGCAAATTTTTTGTGCCCGAAACCTCATAATAAAATTAATTATAAATAATCAATTTTCATTCGTTTGAAAAAATTCAAAAATCTAAAATTCTGAAATTTCGAAAAAAAAAATTCTAATAATGCCCAAAGAAAGAAGGAATACTACCATTGCTTGTGAGTATTGTAAAAGTATTAAGAAAAGATGCATCAACTCAAATTACAACACAACTTGTCAAAGGTGTGTAAAAGACAATCACGAATGCGAGTACCTTCCTCCTAAAAAACGTGGTCCGCGGACAAAAAATCAAAACGAATCAATTAACAATAATCCTGGTAAGTTAATCTTTTAAATAATAATAATTAAAATTATTTATTTAAACCATCTCATTAATTATTTATGCAAATGGATTCTTTATCCAAAAAAAAGATATTTCTACCATTTCGGAAAAATTGAAAACTGAACCTGAAATTGAAGATAACGAAAACGATATTCATTATTTATCAAACGGATATGGTTTAGATGAAAACAAGGTTAAAAGTCTCATTGAACACGATATTCATGATTTATCAAACAAACATGACTTACATGAAAATTTGGTTAAAAGTCTCATTGAAACCTTTCCCGAAGAACCTTTTGAAAATTTGATGCAAGTTTTATCAGCCACCTCTGATCGACCGTATTCTGATAAAGACCAATTTGCATCATTATATGCTAAAGAAAAATTCTAATATTTTGTTACTAAGATATAGGTTTCACCATTCTAAACTTTTTAGGATTTATTTGATAGATAGAATATGTAATGTAATTAGTTATTATAACCAGAAGAATTTAGAAATATTTTTTATTTTTTATTAACATAAATTAATTAATAATAATATACTGTATAAATTTATTTTCCGATATTCGTTATTTTCTTTTTTTTTAAAAAAAAAAAAGGGGAGAGGGAAAGCGGAAGAATTTTATCGGTAATTTTTTCCATTTATTGCAATAAATATAAATTTGCATTATTTGTACTGTTGTAATATGGATACAAACCCATATAAGCATAGATATTAAATACTATTAATCAATAATGCTATATTGCAATGACTTTATCATAGTGATCAGTAATAATGTTAATAATGTTTAATATTGTTTAATAAATGCTAATAAATAAAAATTTAAAAATATAAATATAAATATAAAATATAAAAAAAAATCAAATTAAGGAAGAACGTAAATTGTGGAATGCGTTTAGTTTATACATTCTTAAACTTCTTACGACTTATCAATAGTATACTTAATTATTCATTCGTAAAGAAACAATAAAAAAAAATAAAATAATAATAAAATAATAAAATAAAATAAAATGATAAAAATAAAATAATAAAATAATAAGACAAATAAAAATAAATTCATGTGGCATTTATTAAAAAAATCACCTTTTAAAATATGTTTAATGCAAAAACTATTTTTTATGAACTCCATAATAAATATATAATAAATAAAATAGGCATAAAAACTATTTTTTTTAAAAGAGTAATAATAATAACATTCATTTATATTATAACTATAGAATACATGAATTCTTTCTAAAAATGAATAAGACTTATACATATAAAAATAATCTTAAACTTCTTAACCAATTTCATTCTATCACAAAGTTATTTAAAAAAAATTGAAACATTAATTATTAAAAAATCACATATCAATAAAAAATTTAAAAAAATCTTAGAATAATTTAATCCGCTGGTACAATAATGCATCCTGGCAGTTAGAACTGCCATTATCGAATCAAAAGGCTAATTTGGATGTTTCTTTAAGATCTTCAGCATTGGGTTGTAAAAAATATTTTCTTGAAAGATCGGTAATATCATCATTTCTTGAATAAGGCATAGTTCTATATATGTCTTTATTTTTGATAACATTGGAATATGGATCGGCAATATCGTCATCTTTTGAATAATCATTATAAAAAGGAACTATTATATTAAATTAATAAATTAATAAATATTTAAATGAAATAATCAAACTTAACTAATTTAACTTACCAATTTTATTATCGTCGTCACCTAATCCAAAGTTTGAAATCTTTCTTTAGCATTGTCTTGAAAGATCGGCAATTTCGTCATCTCTTGAAATACTATAAAAAAAAAGTATCACCTATTATTTTATTAATAAATATTTACATACTGGTATAAAAATAAAATCACCAAACTTAACTAATTTAACTTACCAATTTTATTATCGTCTTCATCCAATTCAAAAGTTTCTTTGGCATTGTCTGAAAGATCAGCAATATCATCTCTTGAATTATTATTATAAAAAGGTTCTATTATTTTAAATTAATAAATATTTACGTTCAGTATAAAAATCAAACGTTCAAAATCAAAATTACTTGTAATTTGGGTAACTAATTTAACTTACCAATTTTGTCATCGTCTTCAATGGTTAGAAATATTTCAGAATTATCATAAGGCGTAGTTAGATAAATTCTTTTATTTTTGATAACATTGGAATAGGATCGGCAATATAGTCACTTCTTAAATTATTATTATCTATTATTTTAAATTAATAAATTAATAAATATTTACGTACCAGTATAGAAATGATAATCATCAATTTAACTTACCAATTTTATTATCGCCTTCATTTAACTCGTGTATTGGGCGAGGGCCACTGGTTGATCGTATTCGCATTCTAATCCCCTCGTTAAACATCTTTCGCAAGGTGAGTAGTCAGAACATTTTTTTTTAGCCTTTTGGCAATTTTTACAAGCGAGAGTAACATTTTTTCTTATGGTTTTTACTTTATACATATTTAATTGTTGGTTCACCTAAGAACAGCACTATTTACATATAGAAAATCGGGTTAAGTTATTTGCAAAAGTATTATAAAAATATAGTTTTAAAAAATTTAAAGAATTGACTTTTTCAGTATACAAAACTATAATAATATATAAATAAATTTACTCCAAATTCTATTATGATCGAAAAACGGTGTATATTGCTGGATTAAAGGAAAAAATTTTTGGATCCTTTATATGTAAATTCTGATAGATGTGTAACGAGATTTTGCGTTATGATGAGAGCCATTCATATTTATTTTCAAGAAACATCTTTAAGCATGGCGGTTTTAGCCCACTATTTTCGTTATGATGACGGTTTCTTTTTATATCTATATTTATATTTTATTTATTTAAATTTTTTAAACGATCACAAAGTTATTCCCAATTTATCATACAACTTTTTATATTAATTTACAACTTATCTAATAATACTAATAAATTATAATTTAAAAAATTGCAATTGCATTATATTGTAATAAAAAAATTTTAACCTATTACAATAATGCTCATAACAAATTTATTTGGACTTTTTTGGTAAGAAAAAGGTTTGCATTCCGTAGTCCTTTGCTTTGACCAAATTGAGTTTTATTGTCTTTAAGTTTACTTAGAATTATTTTTATAACGATTGATAATTGTTTTTAATTCAAAAATGATCGACAAAATGTTTGTCTCATAATATTGACACAAAGGCACAATGAATAGTCCAAATTAAAAGTTTATTGGAGCAAAACTCCGTTGGATTTAAAAAAACGAAATAAAAAAGAATAGTCCAAATTACATAAACTTTTTTTTTTGTTTCAAATAAAATTATTCAAAAATGGCAAATCAGATTATTGATGTTATAATTTTTTAATGGAATATAGAATTAAAATAGTGGATACAGTTTCGAAAACGTGTCACAGATGTCACGTGGAAGATCATCTTGTGATCAGCTGTCCTGTGTCGAAAAAACAAAGGGAAATTAGTGAAAGAAAAACAAGAGATTTTGAAAAATATGGGCAATTATATAAAAGACAAAGGCCACAACTATATAAATCTCTAATGGGAGGAATTAACGTGGGAACAAGTTACTCAGATGCTGTTAAAAATAATATAAACAGAAAGCTAAAAATAATATAATGGAAAAGAATGATACAACAAATGAAAATATTATGAACATGTTATTAGAAATCCAGCAAGAT